TACAGTTAGGACCACAGTCAAAATCCCCTCTCGATTCCCCCAATGAACGAGAGGTCCACAAATTGAGCGATCAAACCTTCCTACAGTTAGGATTGTCTCAAAACACCCACTTGGTCAAACCTTCTTACAGTTAGGACCACAGTCAAAATCCCCTCTCGATTCCTCCAATGAACGAGAGGTCCACTTTCAAATCGAGTGATCAAACCTTCCTACAGTTAGGGTCACCTCAAACTCCTGTTTGGCCAAACCTTCCTACAGTTAGGGTCAAAACCATAATTCACTCTCGATAAACGAGAAATTCATCTTTAGTTCGGTAATCAAACCTTCCGACAGTTAGGGTTATCCGAATCTTTTCGATTCTCGGAGTGGAGATCCCACTCTCAGTTTCACCTTTCCGGATTCTGGGGGTGGAGATCCCACCTCGAGTCTCCTTTCCAGTTGAAGATAGAATATAAAATTCTTCTTCTTCATTGTCGGGAGATAGAATATAAAATTCTTCCTCTCCCATTTCGGGTTCGTCTTTGCCCCAAGAGAAGACACCACCTTTTTCAAATCCCAAAATCTGTGCCTCACAGGTATGGAAGTTTATCCCGAATCCTAAGCAGGGATAAGTCTGCGCCTAACACGCGCTGCCGGTTAGTTCTTAAACCGTTGAAAAGAACACCCGTTCACATATTCAACATTGTGACAGGTTGTTATTAATAACACCAAAATCCATGCCTTACACGCATGGGGAATGTCATCCTGAATCCTAAGAAAGGATATGTCGACACCTAACACGTGTCGCCGGTTTAGTCTTTTACCGATTGAAAAAGACACCAGAGTTCGATTCTGGGGTATCTCATCCCGAAGCCTAAGTAGGGATAAGTCAACGTCTAATACACGTTGCCGGGTAGCCTATTCCCGTAACAATGGCGAAGCCTATGTATTCAACATCATAGCACAAAGTCTCAGAGAATTCACTCTCTTAGCACAACGTTACATGCGGAACGGATTTAGACAATCCGCATGCTAGCCCGACTCAAACGGTAGTCGGTAAAGGCTAATCAAACCCGTTGAAGGCTGGGGGTTAGCCAAAAACCCTAAAGTCAACGCCTAACACGCGTCGCCGGGTAGTCTATTCCCGTGAGAAAGACGAAGTCTACGTATTCAATATCGTAGCACTAAAAGGGTTAACTCTTTTAGCTTAACGTCACATGCGGAACGGACTTGAACAATCCGCATGCTAGCCCGACTCAAACGGTAGTCGGTAAAGGCGCATCAAACCCGTTGATGGCTGAGGATTTGCCAAAAATCCTATAAATACGAAAGTCACTGACGCATCAGCTTCTTTAGTTGGTCTCGTGACCTGAGCAACATACGACGTTCAAAACCCTAAGGTCTACGCCAGACAACGCGTAACCTTAGGTCAACGCCAGTCAACGCGTTGCGAGCAAAAAATTCGAAACCCTAGGGTTAACGCCGGACAACGCGTAACCTTAGGTCAACGCCAGTCAACGCGTTGCAAGCAAAAAATTCAACGTACGACGGTCAAAACCCCAGGGTCAACGCCGGACAACGCGTAACCTTAGGTCAACGCCAGTCAACGCGTTGCGATCAAAAGGTCAACGTACGACGGTCAAAACCCCAGGGTCAACGCCGGACAACGCGTAACCTTAGGTCAACGCCAATCAATGCGTTGCAATGAGAGAATCCTTACTCTGAAAAGTATACGAGTATAAACTGCTTCTTAATACTCCGAAAAGTATACGAGTATAAACTGCTTCTTAATACTCCGAAAAGTATACGAGTATAAACTGCTTCTTAATACTCCGAAAAGTATACGAGTATAAACTGCTTCTTAATACTCCAATAAGGTATATGAGTATAAACTGTTCCCTAATGTTGGTTGAGAAGTTTCTGGAGAGTATTTTTCTAAAATTATTCTTAAGGATAACTCAACAACACTACGCCGGACAACGCGTTGCAGATAAAGACTCGACGCCAACAATCGATGGTCAGCTAAAGATTAGAAAGTCAGGAATCGACTTCAAGTTTAAAATTCCGACAACGGTCAGACAATAAATGCAGCACCGGAACTCTTACAGACATTCGACAAAGCACCGAATAGCCTGGAAGATTGAAGGAATCAAGAACGGAAGTCATTCCAAAGTCCCATTACGCCGACTGAAGGTTGGGACAATCATATCCAAAGTATTCCAGACTCTTATATAAAAGAACGAGACTGAAATACTTTGGAGGGGGTATCTGTAGGCATATAAAATTGCTTATAGGTCCCTTAGCACAGCTCGGCACAAACCGACGAACCAACAAGGCGACGAATCGCACGTAAGCAACGGAATAAATCCACTTGCGTTCGGAATCAAGCCAAGTGTTGAAGAGTCAACGAGTGATCCAACCAAAGACAAACTCGGACGAATCACGATCGAATCAAGATCAGTTTCGGACTCGAACTCAGAAGCGGATTTACTGCCAAATCAGGAATCCAACTTCCAAGGCCGAGCCACCTCAGGGTGGCTCGGCCAATGCCGAGCCACCCTGAGGTGGCTCGGTGGCCGAGCCACCTTGAGGTGGCCGGCCCAGGGCCGAGCCACCTCAAGGTGGCCGGCTGCACTGTGCCCAAGGCACAGTGAGGGTAGCCTATAAATAGGCCCCCTTTTGTTCATTTTCAAAGGTTGGACTTTTGAGAGCCGAAACTCTGTCGGATTGAAGACCGGGCTTAGAGTTTTGAAGACTTGAAGACTTGGACATCCAGATTTGATCCTCGGCGAGCATCCACGTCACAAAAGGCAGGAGTTCGAGAGAGGGGAAGAACAGATCTGAGATCTACACGAGATCACACTCCGGATCTAAGCTTGGTCTTAGATCCCGAGATCCGAGCGATTATTTCCTTAGTGAACTAATCCCTCCCGGCTATTATTTCCTTCGTGGAATAATACCCGTCAAATCGTGTAGATCCAACCGGATCTAGATCGCGCGGTGGTCCACGGATTAACCCCGGAGTTGGCAAAGAACCCACAAAAGCGAGCGACCACAAAACAGGAGCTCGCGATTTGTTCACAAGGAGAAAGTTGTAATTTTTTTTATTTTCTTTGATTTCGTTGTAACCGGATCTAAAAAAGACCGGATCTTTTGTAACCACAAAAAGTTGTTATTTTGAGATCACAATGAATTCAATGAAGAAAACGATTTTCCCCGCGAACAGTGATGTCTCAAGAATTTTATCACTTGAGATGTCTTAACTTCTCTGAGAGGAACAACTTTGGCCTATTTGGAGAAGTTATCTGTGATGGTCAGATGAATCGATGACCTTTGGTGGACAGTGGGCTGATTGGCCCAATGATGTCCATGCCCCAAGCTTCAAATGGTCAAGAGGAAACTGTCAGATGCAATTCTTCCGGAGGTTGATGTAGGAAGTCAGTATTGATTTGACACGTGTGACATTGTTTAGCATACGCTACCGCATCTGCTATCATTGTTGGCCAGTAGTAGCCTAGGCGACAAAGTCGGTCTTGAAGTTTAGGACCTAGTTGATGAGCTCCACATGCACCGTCATGGGCTTGTGTATGCTATCTAAAAATTACTGTAGGTAGCTGATCCCCATCAAATACCAATGATGGTAATTACAATCTGACGACTTCCATAATACTAATTTCATAATCAAATCAACAAATGAAGGTAACAATTAGAAGATTTTTACGTAGATCGAGAAAGGTTACAATTCAACGACCTTCACGACGACCAATGAAAGCTCTGATTCAACAGTCTTCATAATTAACAACAAGAGTTATAATCTGATGAGTCTCATGTTTCAAAGAGCTAAAGCGAAGATCACAAAATGACGATTTTTACAACGCTCTATAAAAGAGATTACAAGCCAACAATCTCTTTTCCAACACGAAAAACTCACTTCTACGTTCTAAGAGCTAAACGCAAGAATCAGCTTTGCGTTCCAAGTTCAAAAACGCAGCACAATCGTTGTGTTTTCTGCCTCAACACAGATCTCAACTCTGCGTCTTATCCGTTGGACGCAGAGTTCGTGCTCAGAACGCTAGTTTTGGCGTTTAACACGTTCAAACACGAGTTGAACGGTTCCAGAAACCGTTTCCCCCCATAATTTGAGGAATTTTCGCCTCACTTACGAGCAAATTAAGGGGGCAGTTACACCCCTTAATCCCCCTATAAATAGGAAAAAACTCAACAGAGTTAAAGGTCGGTTTCGAGAGGACCGGGAATCGATCTTTTGGAGATCTTAGGGCATTCTTCAGCAATAGAAATTCTTGGAGTTTTAGTACTTGGCTTACAAACCGATTTTTGGTTCAAATCAACTCTGTTATAGAGTTTAAAACTCACTCTGAGTTCTAAACTCATTAAGAGCTATTTTCAAACTTTCCACGTAAGTTCTCCTTGACATCAATCTAGAGGATTTGACCGTGCTCTATGAGTTTAAGCATTCTGATCGTCAACGGAAAGCAAACTCGACGCGAGCATTCAAGGGAGGCATTTCATCGACACCATGAAGAACCTAGTTTTAACAAAGGAAAGGATCTCCATCGATTTCTTCTCTCTTTTGTAAATCAGGATTTCGATTGAGAAGATTGTAATTTCTTTTTCTAAAGTTTGTTAGAGAGAAATTGTATTAAAAACGTTGTAATCATTCTTTATCGAAAACAGTTAGAGAGAATAACACATTTTTGTTCTCAATTTTCTTCTTCAAATTTTCCCACCAAACAGCTTGCTTTAATGCTTCTCGAGCTTTACTTGGTGATAAGCATCAGAGTAAAATACCATCGAAAGATCGTCGGTACAAAGTCTGTGGGGGCAAAATCATAGAAGAAACACAGAGCTCTTCTTTGAATAGAGGTCGCTTGGTTTAGATCATCTGGTAGTATCTCGTGCAAGACATAATCAATGATTAGGAACCACCAATCATTACCTTCAAAGTGAGTTGACCTAATGTACACTTCGTTGGCTTCAAGAATTTGCTCCGAAGAGCATAATTAACGACTAGCCATAGTGATACACCGGGTAGATTTGGGTGCCAAAGCAAGTGTGGCTGTGAGGGATACTAGAGCATCCACATGAGTGTTCTCAAGGCGAGCTATGTAGTTAATGTAGAAGCCTTCGAAAGACTGAGAAAGCCTTGTTGCCACTTTATGGTAAGGCATGAGGTCATTGTGGTGGACCTCATATTCTCCCCTGATTTGATTCACGATCAGTTTAGAATCGCTGTGAGCTTCAAGGTATTTGACACCCATGTCTTGAACAAGTTGTAGGCCGATTATAAGAGCGTTATACCCGGCCACGTTGTTGGAGCATGGCTTGGTCAATGAATAGGCTCGGGAGAGGACATATCCATAAGGGTCAATCAGCATTGCCCCTGCCCCTGCAATGACTGCTCTCTTATGGTTACGTTGTGACACACCGTCAAAGTAGAGTTGCCATATTTGGTGGTGCGAAACATAATTCAACTCGAAACCTTCATCTGGGATGTCTTCATAAAACTTAGAAGACCAAGGAATATGTTGTTCTGACAAAAAATCGGCTATTGCTTGACCCTTAACTGCTTTCTTCGGTACAAATATCATGTCATGTTATGATAGCAGTATAGCCTATTTTGCTAACCTGGAATACAGTGACCCAGATTTCATCATGAGTATCCGTAGAGTGTTGACTCTTAAAATAAAATGAATGGATTGGCCGATGAGATAGTGTCGCATTTTCTAAATCGCGAAGACCAATGTTAAATATGAAAGTCTTAGGTCGAAACAACTTGGCTTCTGGTTTTATTATGAAAGGATTCTACGATCTTATCAGTTGGAAGCGGCCTAGTTGAATATGTGCCTTGGGTTTATTCATGAAGATGATACTAAGGTCTTAGAGTTAAAGACGACCGAGTTGATGACATGCCTTGGTTTTATCCAGAAAGTGTACTAGGGTCTTATGTGTCAGAGTCAACCAAGTTGATGATATGCCTTGGTTTTATCCTGAAAGGGTACCAAGGTCTTAGTGTCAATGTCAACCGAGTTGATGATGTGCTTTGGTTTTATCCCGAAAGGGTACCAAGGCCTTACATGTCGAAGTCGACCGAGTTGATGAGGTGTATTGGTTCTATCCCAAAAGTGTATCAAGGCCTTACATGTTGAAGTCGACTAAGTTGATGACGACTCAACCTCATGCCTTAGGCTTACTCGAAATGACAACAAGGTATTGGGTACACGCCTTGGGCTTATTCATGTGAATGACAACAAGGTCTCAGAGTCTTCATTGCTGAGTCGATGAAGATCGAGTAGCAAGAGATGCATACAAATTAGTACACACTTAATTAGATAAGGGTCTTTACAGTTTAATTACATTTTGTGAAGGTATTCTCCAAAATGCTTTACATTTTATGACAACTCTACTAGGGGATCCTTCTGTCTTTGAGAGGACTCTACTTTAGCTGTCGCTTTTCTGGCCGCATTCTTATAGGCTCGACTATCTTTTACATCCATGTGTCATGCTCGAGCTCTGTCCATTTAGCTGTCCAAAGTTAGTCGTAGGATCTATGGTGAGTGTGTCAGCCAACTTATCATCCTCTAGTCCTACAAAGATCGTGGTCATGGCCACTATGTTGTCAGGGTCTTGAATTTCTAGCCTTTTGACTAGGAATCTCTTGAAATAGTCCCTGAGACTCCCTCCGATTTTCTATCTTATCTGTAGCAAGATGGAGGATGGTGCCTTTTTTTTAGAGTCGGCTAAAAAATAATGTACAAATTTTTGGCTAAGCTGTTCAAATATATGAATGGATTTTTTGTCTAATGAGTTCTACCACTCTTAGCGCTTCCCGTCAAGGTGACGGGGGAAGCTCTACAAATAATGGGATTGTAGGCATCTAAAAATGACTATAGGTGTCTGTACGCAGCTCGAGGCAAAGAGAAGACGATGAATGTCATCATCCGAGTCAAGAAGGATTATCCGATTGGCTGCTGTGCATATCAATCAGCTCGCGCACGTCAGTCAACGTGCGCACGTCAGTCAAAGCATGCTTGTCAGTCAGCTCGTGCACGTCAATCAGCTCGCATGCGTCGGTCAACTCAAAGTGCCTGACGCGCATGTCGGTCGGTTCCAAGTGTCGTAAAGAAGTTAACAAGCGCATGAAGAAAGTTAGCAAACCGTACAAGTTAACAAGATGATCAAATACACAAAACGACAGAAAATACAAGTTCCGGAAAGTTGGGAAAACAACGGGAAATTCAGCAAAAGGTCAAACCCCCATGCCAGCACCGGGTCAGCCGCGCCGACCCGCCACCGCACGCGGTCGGTACCGTGCCGACCCCGCGGCGGGCGTGGATCGGACCGCGCACCGACCGCGGGGAGCGCGGGTCGGACCGTGTTGACCAGTGTCTGCTCCGGGTCAGCAGCGCCCGTCACGCAGATCTGAGCCCCCAACGTGTTTTTGACGGTTTTGAGCGATTTTCTCAGGATTTATCTGCTCCAGGGGTTTCCAACTGACTTGATATCATCTACAAACATGGTTAGGCCGTTATTGACTGAAGATGAGGCTAAATCACTCATTCTTATCCAAATACCCCCCCCCCTCCAACTGAAGCTTATAAGTACAGGACTTGGGGCTCATTTCATAGGGGCGGAATATTATCAAGACGAGGAGGTGCTGCCAAATTGAGGAGTCAAAGGAGCACGAATTTCAGAGGAGACTAACTGATCTCGGCGAAGATCTTCAGCATAAAGAGGGAGAGTTCGAGATATCTGAAGCCTCGTCCATCCGTTCCTCAAGATTAGACTTGGTCTTAATCTCAAGAAGAGCTACTAATTTCGTTTGGTCGATTTTAGAGCTTCAAGCGAATACTTCCTTGGTGAAGTAGGAGCTTTGTCAATTTTATGACAACTGGATCTGATCCGTAGGTGGTCTACGGATATCGACGTCCCCGGCACAGGAGAAGTTCTCACGCAAGCAGTGGGTGATAAACGTCCACTGCGCTGTTTGACAAGAGTTGTATTTTTGTATTTTTATTGTATAAGGAGATCTTATAAAAAGATCGATTTTTCTAGTTTATTTGAGTTTATTGTAACGACCAAAGTTGTAATAGATTCGATGGCAATGAAAACATTAACTTTTGACCCAAACAAGTTAGCGACCACAGTGGGAGCCAATAGCTTTGCTGTTGAAGCTATCATGCCGCAACCTCAGATATGCATCTTGGTTGAAGAAGTGGTCGAATACAAGTTCGACCTGGCCAAGTTCGAGGAATATCTGTCGTCCTCCTCCAAATCCTCCGTCTCTCACAAGTGCAGGAAGATCAACGCCCTCGTTGCTGTAATGGATGCACCTCGCAACGTCCTGTAGACGTCTAAAATTGCCTATAGGTATCCACACACAGCTCGAGACGGAGAGAAGACGACGAACATCATTATCCGAGTCTAAGAGGATTATCTGACACCGACAAGCGCATAAAACGAAACAGCGAACCAAGTGGCCTGCGCGATCAACAATCAACACGTGCCCATCAATCAGTTCGTGCGCGTCGGTCAACACGCACCCGTCAATCAGTTCGTGCGCGTCGGTCAACACGCGTTCATCAATCAGTTCATGCGCGTCGGTCAACACGCGCCCGTCAATCGGTTCGTGTGCGTCGGTCAACACTCGCTCGTCAATTAGTTCGTACGCATTGGTCAACACGCGCGTGTCAATCAGTTCGTGCGCGTCGGTCAACACGTGTTCGTTAATCAGTTCATGCGCGTCGGTCAACACGCGCCCGTCAATCGGTTCGTGCGCGTCGGTCAACACGTGCTCGTCAATCAGTTCGTGTGCATTGGTCAACACGCGCGTGTCAATCAGTTCGTGCGTGTCGGTCAACACGTGGGTATTAATCAACAAACGCACGTCAATCAACGTGCGCATGTCAACCAAATGTGCGTTCGACGGTCAGTCGCGCAACAGAGCGTACAAGTCAATACGACGGGCGAATACATGAAACGGCGAAAAAAGAACAACTCCAGGAAGGAAAAGCGCCAAAAAGAGAAAGAATTCGGCAGAGGTAACGGACCCGGGCCAGCGTGGAACGGAACAGACCGACCCGCGCAAGCGCGGGTCGGATGATTCCGACCTGCGCAAGCACGGGTCGGATCATTCTGACCTGCACAAGTGTGGGTCGGATGTGTCCGACCCGCGCAAGCTCGAGTCGGATCTGTCTGACCCGCGCAAGCGCGGGTCGGATTTGTCCGTCACGCAGTCTGGAGCCCAATACGCATTTTGGCGGTTTTAAAGCGATTTTTCGCAGGATTTATATGTTCAAGGGGTTCCTAACTGACTTGATATCATCCCCAAATGTGGTTAGGCTGTTGTTAACTAAAGATAAAGCCAAATCATTCGTTCTCATTCAAATAATCGCACTCGAGGCCTATAAATATCAGCCCGAGGCCTCTATTTTTTAAGGCTGGAATTTTTATCAAGAGGACGAAGTGATGCTGGATTGAGGAGTGAAGGAGCATGAAATTTCAGCGAAGGTCAGCGAGATCCTGGCGAACTTCAACATAAAGAGGAAGGCTATCAAAGGATCCGCGCCCGTATTTTCCCCCGTCCGTTCCTTGAGATTAGGCTTTGTCTTAATCTCGAGAAGAGCTACTGATTTTGCTTGGTCGATTTTAGCGCTTTAAGCAAATACTTCCTTGGTGAAGTAGGAGCTCTGCCTAATTTTTTAGTAACCAGATCTGATCGACGGTCGTCCACGGATAAACCCTGGCACCGGCGAAGAACCCATGCAAGCAAGAGACGGTAAACGGATCTTGTGTTTATTTTTAAGATAGTTGTAATTGTTTTATTTTTGTTATTTGAATTCATTTGTAACGATTGAAGTTTAATGAAATCAATGATGAAGGCAGCTTTCAACGAAAACAAACTAGCGACCACAATGGGAACCGTCGGCAATCAAGATCCGAGTGAACGAAGAGGTTGAATATGAATTCGACCAGCAAAAGTTCGAGGAATACTTGTCCTCCTCCAGATCCACCTCTCCTCGCAGATCTAGTAAAGTCCGCTGGTCTTCCGAAACAAAGACCCAGGAAGATGATCTCTCTGTCGTCGCCGCTCCACTTGTGACTTACGACGCCTGTCGACATCTGATAAAGTCAAAGCCGCAGATCTAAACTCCATAAGCAAGGAGTTAACTACTGACAACGTGCCCACTCTATCAAAGAGAGCACGTCAAAGACGGCGACAACGCCTTACACGCCAGCTGGTCAAAGCCTTGGAGCCAGTTAACGGAATTCGCTATGAAGCGGATATGAAGTCGAGGAGGCGCCAACCGCCGCAACAACGAGTGGACAACCCCTCCCCCTTCAAACCAGCGAAGAACGAATGGGTCCGTGTCAAAAGGACCCGATTGACTCTTCAAGAGCGGATTCAGAAACGCTTATTCAAGAGGCTAAAAAGTTACAGAGGGAAGAAGTGGAGAAGAAGCCACAAAAACTGTACCAAGTGTGGAGGCCAAAGTCTAAGACGGCGGCCGAAAAGACTAAAAAACACGAGTCACTCAAATCCGACCCGCCGGCGCGCGAGTCACTCAAATCCGACCTGCCGGCGCACGGG